ACACACACACACACACACACACACACACACACACAAATATTTATCTAAAATAATTATTCAAACGAATTCTTTTCAATCGAATACATATTTCGAATCGAATATCCATTTATTCAAATAATTCTTCATTTTTCATTCGAATAAATTATTTGAATCGAGATTATAAAATTATTCGAGTAATAATCCCAATAATTGTTGACCGTTAATATTGATCTAATTTTTCAAGAATATATGTGTTGTAAATATGAATCTCGGAATGAACGATTGATTCCCTTTGCACCCGTAGAAAGATTATTTAGTAATGCAGCAATGATTAGTTTATCCAAAAGTAACAAACTTCCCGATACAGTAGTTGAAAAAAAGTTAATTGTTAAAATTAACATAGGAGAAATTAATCAATTGACTATGGAAAAATATTATAATCTATTTTATCCATTTTTTTCCCAATCGATTCTTGTACAAATCAATTCCTATGCGAATAACAAATAACTTCTTGTTCGATTGAATTTTTATTCAAATATAATATCTTATCCGGATAAATTCTCATCTAGATATATTTTTGTTCGATTGGATATTTATTCGACAACGTCGAATAAAATTGTATTCGTTGATCTGTATCACTTATCCGTCATCCGAATAAAATCTTGCCCAACTCTGATTTATATTATGCCACGCGTGTTTATTTAATAGCAAATTTAGACATTCAAAGCTCTGATAACCGAGGTTTTACTCTATTTACTGTGCTAGCGTGTCTTCCGGCTTCTGTTGAGATGCTGCAATGCTTGCAGAAAGTTATGAAAATAGATTTAAAAAAGGCATGGCTTACAGATCTCTGATCTCTCGATTACATTTTCGGACATCGCAACAAATTACTCCCAAGTGTGATGACAATCGATTTGCAGAAAGTTCACACGAGCTTACGTGTGTGTTACGTATAGATTGCTGCACTAGAAAGTGCATGCGCACTGCACACCTTGATCCTGCAGATACCTGGCATCGAAAATAATGCGAAATTAGATAATATCGACAAATTAGATTTATCAGTAAGTAGGCTGTTAGTAATTCTTCGTTAGAAATAAATTTAATATTCGCTTAGCCTTTTGATTACAAACGAGTTATGTTTGTTCCATGAACTTACAGGAAATTACTTACCGAAGCTGTTTTATTAGTATGCGGACTTTTGTGCAAAATAAAAATTCTTCGCAATTACTTTAACGAAGAAGAGAAGTAGAAGGTCACACAAAAGTTTCGTGATATTACCGTTTTGCATTCAATCTGTCCTTTTCTTTATAAATGCATCAAATCCGCAGTCCTCGCTTCATAGCTCTTGTATTATGTTTCAAGAAACTGTCAACACAATTCTTTTCGTTTATTGACATTCGTACCTTCATATCCGTTTCTTTTGTACTTATTTACAATATTATGAACAAAATATTGTGATACCAGTTAATAATAGAAAATTCATTTACAGACGATCCTTGAATAACAGGACACTGAATCATACAAGTATAACTCGGTCAAAAAGCATCGAATTGCACAGTTTCCAAAATTTCCTTCGAAACAGTTCTAAAAATTACTTTTCACATTTCATAAAAATTTGGTGTAACGCGAAGTCAAATAACCGTATTATTTTCGAGGATTGCCCGTGCGATGAAAGAAAAATTGACTCTAACGAAACAAATAATTTCAAAGGTTATCAAAGATCGATAACTTAAGTTTAAGCAAATCTTCGATATATTTGATAAGTAAACGAAACTAATAAATCGCCGAACACATCAATTAACAATCGCGTCTATAAAAAAAGTCTATTAAGTAAAAGTGAAACCATCTTGATAGGAAAATATGAATAAAAATTTAGTAATACGAGGTGTGATATCCACCCTTCGTTAAATTTATTGAAGCATACATGTTACAAGAATATTGTTGTAACCCTACATTATTCTCATACAAAATTATTTATAGTAAGTGAAGAATAAAGTTAAACAATAAAATACAAAAGAATTGTTGATCGTGTGTATGTGTGTGTGTGTTTGTTTGTTTGTTTGTTTGTGTGCATATTTCTAATTGCTGCTTTTCTATGCAAAACTGTCGTTTGCGTTCAACTTATTTGATAATGTAAATAAATTGGATCTATAAATGTGCAGATACCGGAAAAGTTTCGTGAGGTTTCCTGTTCAGGATTACCTTAAATGGAATCTCTTGCATTAGTTTACAAACTCTGTGTACAAAATTCACACTCATACAAGGTTTTATATATTTAGTTGGTACATTTAGCGTATTTCTTATTCGTATCTATCTATAGTTACACTCCGTGCTTTCCCTATTTATCAATTTATATTTGAAAATGCAGCAGCAAGTGCACTTAGAAATGAAGAAGGTTTAGTTAACCCTTTGCTGTCGGGGACGTTTTACCTCGAAATTCAAAATAGCTTTTTCGACCTATAGTGTTTCCATTTGATATAATTTCACGCACTTTATACATATTATACTGCATTAAAAATTGCAACGAGATACACTTTTAGCAGATTTTATGTATAAACCGATTTGATGTTAAAATTATTTTGAAATACAACAGTCTTTAATGGCGCTGTTGACTCGTCACTCGATTGCAAAGGGTTGATAAAAGAGTAGCACCGAAACAGTCCGAAGTTTCAGAACAGTACATCCATCTATAATTAATGAGGAGTTGCGTAAGTGTACATGTATTTATCCAAATCCACGCAACGATTTTCAAATGCTGCTGAACTATCGTAATGTAATTGATCCGCAATAAAAGACGATTCGATTTTCATAAAAATCTTGTCACTGCAATTGCTGAACATGAGTGTATAGATATAGCACGATAAAACGTAACCTCAAGTTGATGGTCAAAAACTGGTAATAAGACAGCGGATGTTAGACAGGAAGGTCCACCACATCCTCCTTACACGCCGAACTTATGTCCTTCCAATTGTCGCTTGTTTTTGTCTGCGTTTAGCTGTTTCGCAAATGAACGTTTTAAAAACGACGTCAAGTTTGAACTTAAAGAAGCGAATTTTTATATTCCAGCGTAATAATTTTGTTCAGCGTTCATAATTCAGCGTAATGCATGAACTTTGTTAAATAAAATTATGTTTCAGAAACGTGTATAAGGCATTATACTATTAACACCCGAACAGTGAGGCTGGGATCCACCTGGACCCAGAGTACAAATATTGTTGTTTCACTATCCAGTACTTGAAAAGAATACGCTGATAATGCTTAACGAATAAAATTAGAATTGATCTCGAGCACGCTCGGTTATATTTTTGCCAAGAAGACCTGCCCCTCTTCGAGCGTAAAAATAAAGAGCACCTATCCTTAATAAAGTATCGAGTAGCGTGTCGTCAAAGATGACAAATATTTCTTCGACCAGATTACGTTAAGTTGCAACAGAGACGATGTTGCATCTGTTCAGAAGTCGCGCATCGTACACTTTAGCTCGAGCCGAAATCGTTATCCTCGATTCCGTAGAATTTGAACGTATTTCAAGATCTACGTATCTTCGAGTCTATCGACACTCTCGACGAAACGATACCATTTTTAGGACGTGGATTGAAAGTTCACTTTGTCACTTGCCAATAATGATGCGGTGAACTGATATTATCTACGTTCTTTGTGTAATTCAACAAAACACTCGGCCAAATAACGTCGTTGTCGCCCATGGCCGGGGACTGTCTCACTTTTCTAGACGCTCTTCGGGTTCGCCGACTGTCGAGACATTTCTTGACCTCGTCGTTCCTGCGCGACTCATCGGCAGCGTCCTCGTCCTTGGTAACGTAGCTCAAATGCGGCTGTTCGTTCATCAAATCCGTGTCCTCCGCGAACTTCGTGCTCTCCGTGCAGTTGTTATTACTCTCGTCGTCGATCTCGAGGGCCGTTGAATTGTTCTCTTCGTCGACCGCCGGACCGTCGCCGATGCCGGCGTCGTCCTTCAAATCGAGCTTCGTCAGATCTACGGTGGACCATGCAACCGAATCGAAGTCAACGTGCTCTTGAACGGAAGCTGTCGTGGTAGCGAAGATGTTCTTGATGTTCCCGCTGGCGAGTTCGTCCTCGAATAGCTGATTAGCTATGAAATCCGACACAGATTTCACGTCCCACTCCACGAGCTCGTCGCTGCTGACCGAGATCCCGTCTTCTTGTTCATTCTTCGTCTTCTCGGCGAGGTTCTTCTTGCTGTTCCTGATGTCGCCGACCGTCTTGAAGTAGATGCTGTGATCGTACCGGTACGTCTCCAGACAGTTGCTGTCCAGGTTGCTGTTCGATTGGTAGTTGAACGTGCCGCAGCAGTTGATCTTGGTCTCCTCCGGGCGGGACTTTCTCCGGGACTTCTTGAACGTGTGGAATCGCGGGCTCCAGGACATGTCGTCGATGATCAGCTTGTTCGAGGAGACACTCCAACGCGGCTCCTGGCCAGTCTGCATGGTCATCCGTCCCCGGGACAGTCTCTGGGACCGCAAACGGTTATAGCCCCTCGCGTACGCCGCCCATCTCTCGATCCTCTGTAAAACGTATTCCGTTTCCTCGTTCCACCATTCGGTCAGACCTTTCTGCAGCATAGCACCGACGTCCTCCGTCATCGCTGCCAACGGCGACGGTAGCCGTGGCTCCGATATGCGAACTGCCGGATCCCGGCAGCTCACTTCGGAATCCGACAGGAACCGACCGAACGTCTCAGACCAATTGAATTCTCGAAGGAAACGTCGCTACGATTTATAGGATTCCTTCGAAGCACTGCAAAGACCGAAGCCATCGCGGGAACTGCCGTAATCCCTGACCGTGACCTCGTCCGTGCGAACGTTAAATTCGGTTTGTCGCGTAACCTATCACTGTTCCATCGGCATTGATTGCAACGACTGTGCCAGGCGAGAAGCTCCGTGAAAAACCGCCCGCTTAGCCGATATGAATAGCGATCGCGAGCGGATCAATGAATGCAAAAACAGATTATTAATTATATCCGCTTACCTTGAAAGCTTTTGAATGAATGCTGCGCTCCTTGTCTTGTGAAATTAATATAATACGACGATGCGAAGAAATGGCGTTTCCGCGATCAGATTTTTCGTGTATTGGCGCGGATAAAGCGTTCATCGATTATTGTCGAACAAAGTTGGCACTTGTTACTGAAACGTTCAAATATTCTTTGAATACATTCATTTGGCAGGCTTACTATAGAAAGGACATGTTGCATAATTATACGCGAGGATGGCTCCGAGTTTTACGTAACGCAAGCGCAACAAATATTGAGCTTTTATGCACAAAATGACTTACAGAAATGCGAATTTATCGAACGAAATTGTTGACATTCGATCAAAAAATCGATAAGATACAGTAACATGTCGTGTGATTCAACTTTATAGGGTGTGCCAGCATCGGTGATACGACCGAGCAGGGGGTGATTTTACAAGGTATACCAAAAATGTCTCGCAATTAGGAAATCGGGGGATTCCTGAGGTCATTTGAATGAACTTTTTCCTTGGCGAAAATGCGATCCGCGGCTTTGTTTACGAGTTATTAACGAAAAACAGTGACCAATAAGAAACGCGATCAGCTGGCGCGAGGCGACCGAGCCAATGAGCGGAACTGGGCTTCGTGCGCTCGTTGGCGCCTCTTATTGATCATTGTTTTTTGTTAATAACTCGTAAACGAAGCCGCGGATTACATTTTTGCTAAGGAAAAAGTCGCTTCAAATGACCTCAGGAACTCCCTATTTCCTGATTGCGAGACATTTTTGAGACACTCTGTATATAAAAAGAACAAATCAGAAATAAGGAATAAAATTTTTTCATTCGAAGCTTCGTTGTCGAGAAAATCGACTTTGGATATTCAACGAACATGCATACACGTGACTATGGTTTTGAGTTTAGATAGATGAATCTATTGAGACGTCAAATCCTGTGGATTTGGAGTGGTTTTAAATGAAAATGAGACATGTAATTTAATTGCTGATAAAAAAATTTAGTTTTTGAAAATGCCGAATATTGAAAATTGATTTTTGCGACAACGATGCCTCGACTGAACAAATCTTATACTTTACTTTCGATTTTTTCTTTTTTTATATAGAATTACTCCCTCCTCGGATGTACCGCCGATGCTGGGACACCCTGTATGTAAAATAAACCGTGAACAGATGTAAAGCTTTTCGAATATTGCTGAACCGCTTTCCTTTATGTTTCGTGATTAATGCGATTAACTGAAAATAATAAGCAAGCTTCTATTACCGATCTTTTTTTACGAAATTTTATTTGGATAATTGGTGCTTTTGATCACTGATTGAAAAGTAATCTGCACGAAAGTGGCGGTCGGTTATTCTCGAACGGAGGCGTCTTGCAAGTTTACGAAGTGGTCACGATAGACAAAGAAAAGTGAAGATAAGATGAGGTAATGCGGTTACTCGAGCTGCCAATCGTCGAATACCATCGTGGAATATTGAGCGTTCATCAGCGGAGGCGTCTACCGCGAAGCAAATTGTTTATCAGGCCGGGGCTACGTGAATTAAAATTCAAAGAGCTCAACGTTCCTCCGAGGTTCCGGGGATGATGGAGTTCACGTATAAAAAGCCATGTCGAAACTGTGGACGGTGCATTCTTCCACAAATTTCAGATCCTCCACCACACAGGTGATCAGCGTTCTCTCCGTATTTTATGTGGTTTCGTTTCGTTTTTAATTGAACAACGATATTCTATTAATTGGTTCTCTATCCTCGGACAATAATCGTTTGCTAATGAATTAATCCTGTGCACTTGGAGAATTTTCCTCGGATCAATTACCAAAAATTAGAACGTGTATTTATTCGTAAATTAGTAATTAACGCTTCAAATAAAATGTAAGATTACATAAACGTTGGAAATAATTACTCTATTTATGTAGAATTTGGTACAAGACGGTATTGGTGCAAGTAGTGTAAAATAAAATTTTTAATTCGGAAAGTGCCGCAATTATCGACAGTCTTGTCGAACAGTTAATATTTATTTATATTGCTACATGGAAACTTAATAATTATTGTAAAATAAATTATTAGATTACAATATTTCGTGTAACTCGTATGTCGTTATCGAAACTGTTATTGTTACTGAAAAATTTATTGAAAAATTCCTAGCTATGAATCAATTTTGAAAGATCAATACATAATTGCCGATAGATAATGGGTTACGTTATAGTGCAATAAATTATCAATTGAGAATATTCTACACTTCATAGACATTATTTTTGTAAATGGTCGTATTAATGCTTTTCGTTTGACGTCTTAATTGATTAGCCTCATCATTAACAAAGAATTTTTTCTTATCTTTCAGATATGAATTTAACGTTTGCATTCTTTTGCATAATGGCAGTCGCCTGGTTATGTTCCGGAAAATGCGATGCTGCTCCTGAACTCGCCAATAATATTTATCGGAAATTCCGAAGTCGCCCTTTAATTCGAGGGTAATTATGCGATGCATTCAGCTTACGTTATTAAATATATTATTTTGTTGCTTATACTTTCTTGTTATTTCTACTTCTACGGTAATAATTGCTGTTAACTTCATTTATAACATACGCTACTGCTAAGATTCTCATTTCAATCAAACTCTTTTGATGTAAAGAAATAATTCATGAAATGATCGATTTTGATCGAAATAATTTTACATAAAATCTGTGGCGTACAATAAAAAGTCAATACGGTTTCACTTTATATTATTTGATCTTATTATTGCATAAAAGTATTGTTTTAACTGTTTCGCTAATTCTTAGCTAGATATTTCCATTCTTAAGTCACAACTCAGATTACGATAATTAATGCCGTAATATCATTCGTGTTTTTGCTACGAATCGAAGTGAATTCGTTTCAATAATTCTGTTTCAATAATTCTACAGACTCGAATAAATTATGCAATTTGAGACATTACTAATAAGAAGTAATCAGAACTTTAAGCGACAACATTTCGCAAGCGAAAACACAAGACTTGCGATGTCTAATGTAATACATTTCGAACTAATGCAATAAATTTCAATTGAAACAATTTTGCATTTATTTTGGGAAGATTTGAAGATGTTCGGTAGTTCATTTCTTCTCTTTCAATCATTTTAATCACAGTCGAATATGATGTAACGTAGTAACGTAGAAATTGTGTTTTTTTTTGTTTCGCATTTAATCATTAATGAATTCGATAAAACTATTTATCATTATTTATCTTTATTAACGAAGGATAGACAAAAATTACAGAAAACGATCGCTGGTATTTATTTTAATCTATATATGAGTACAATGCACTTTCATTTTTGCGTCAAACCTTTTTTTATCGTCATTTTTATCGTCAAACCTTATTTTCAAATCTTCTGAAAATCTGTTATCCGTACAGATAGCACGATTTTGTTTATCTACAATATTTAGAATAATAATAATAAGAATAATAACAATTCCGTAAGATATCATTCCTTTATTATTTGAGATAAAAATAAAATTAGAGAATAATAAGATGAGAAGAGAATAATAATAATAATTCCGTAAGATATCATTCCTTTATTATTTGAGATAAAAATAAAATTAGAGAATAATAAGATGAGAAGAGAATAATAATAATAATTCCGTAAGATATCATTTCTTTATTATTTGAGATAAAAATAAAATTAGAGAATAATAAGATGAGAAGAGAATAATAATAATTCCGTAAGATATCATTTCTTTATTATTTGAGATAAAAATAAAATTTTCTTCACACATCTTTTATTTTATTTTACGCATAATTTCGTATACATAAATGCACAGAAGCTCGCTATACACATTGCTGGTAAATGTGTTGTACGTTTCATATGTTACACTTCTCTTCAGACATAATACACCTCTAAAACGAATTAATAGTGAAATCTAAAGTGAGTTACCAATAAAGGTTTGCTTACGCGTAAAGGTATTTGACGAATTGTGCCACGATTCAATATTTAATCATTTCTCATACGTAACTATATCGATATTACTAGCAGTGTTTATAATATTATTTAATCGAATGCCATCTATTTACAGATATACCGTGGAAAATCCTTTCGGAGAAGGTTTCGATGATTATGGGCACATGAGATTTGGAAAACGGGAACAATTCGACGATTATGGTCATATGCGATTCGGAAGGCGTCACGAATGAATAGTTATGGCAGTTAACGATTATAGATGCAATTCTGTAGTGATGTTTCACTGTTGTTGCTACAAGAGTCACTTTATTTAGACTCTAGACAAAATATATTTTACATCCCAGACTTGCATTTCGTTAATTTAATCCTCCGCTACATTCACAATTTATTCGAGCATGCTGACGCGTTGATTTATAAATCATGTCACACGATCTTGTAGCTAGACTGCATTTTTTATGCGTTTATGACAAAAATTTGTAGATTGGATTCAAAACAGTAGGAATATTAAAAGTTTTTAAATATATTATTTATTTATTTATTTATTTATTTATTTACTTATTTATTTGTCCTTTAAACCAAATGGTTCATTTTCAACCGATCCGAATTATTAAATAAGAAAAGGAATATTCATTTGGTTACTGTTCACCGTAATTGATGTAGCAAATTTTTATCCAAAATGTTACTCGATAAATTATAATCAATAAAATCATTATAAGAAACATTCAGATTTAATGTTGTGTTTGCTTCTAACAAAAATTAGTCCTCTATTGCGCTCATTTGTTTGCAATGCGATCATAAACAGCCATTACTAATTTTTTGTTTTCTATAGCACTTGAAATTGTTTAAAATGAATCACTTAAGCTGGTTCATATGAATTTTTCAATATTGCGTATACGTAAAGTACAAATCGTTTACAAAAATCGTAAATTACATATTTAACGGAACTAACTTACGCGATATTCTACGCTTATAAATTATTTTAACCTTGACAATAATGGCGCATTAACGTGTCATTGTTATTGTTACTAATGAAATACTGGGAAATAAAGCTGTACAAACGGAAATCCTTTCTCTTCCATCACTTTATTCTTAATCCGAGTCTTTTAAATTGCACACAGTGTCGAATTGTTCAAGCAGAATGACATTGTCAAAATGTCATCTGGTGCGATAAGCTTGGACCAATTTCCTTTGGTAATTCGTAGCCTAGTAAGCGTTCATAGTTGTTAATATTCCTTTTAAAAATCGAGGATCCCTTGATAAATTATTCGATAACTATAACACGGAGTAATATCATTTCCGAAGATTCTCACGAAGTCATTGTTCAAAAGGAAATTGTTCAATTGACAAGCTTGCGGTAGCTGAAACATTGAAATATCACGGGAAACTAGCATGCAACTATTCGTGTTCCGGGTCAACGTGACAAGTAAGCTCTTCAGGTGAACTTTTCGCGCCAGTGAATTCACCCAATTTGTCTCTTTTGGATTTCAAGTCCGCTATTTTATGATGAAGCTCCATGTCGTCGTCCAAGAAGGTATAATAGCCGTCCCGTTTTTCCAAGTCTCGCAGAGCATAACCGATTGTCCGACGATTTAAAAGCCATGGGACTGGCGGCGGCGGTGGCGGCGGAGGCTTTCGTCTTGCAGGATAAGGTAGCCTATAGTGAATTTCCTGCGTCGTCCTGTAATCCATGGTACGTGCAGCTTCAGGATCGTACAATGCTTCCGAAACCGATGTAAGCTTTTTCTCCTCGGTCCTATCAACGGATACATTGTACATACATATTGTTGCATTTACGCGACAACAAAAGGACAATTTGGGAAGAGGAGATACGATTTTTTGCAGTTACCGATTGTTAACAATTATAAAAACGGGTCGCAAGGCTCGAATAATCGTATCTCCTCCACCCAAATTGTCCACTTTTGTGTATAATCTAAGCGTCAATTAGGGAGAATTTACTGTAACTCTTTTAGAGCTGAACTAAACGACCTGAATTTTTTTTAGATGATGAAGGACCAGTCTAACAGACCATAACTGGAATGCTTTCTCGAAATTTTCCTATTGCTTAGAATGACGAGAGAAAATGAAAAACTCTCATTTCTAAGTTTTGTCAAGATGAACTCGCGTCAATATTCACCAAACCGAGAGTGTGGAATCACACGTTAAGATGATCCTAATATACATATAATTTTGTGACACCCTGCACATAGATGGTGTAAGGCTGGAGGCACACGAGCGTCGAATCGACGCAGGGTGATTTTCTTTTGTTGTTTTGCCGATGGAAAATTTCTCTCAGAAATGCCAAATATCGAGTTGCTGTGAATTTCCCTGTGCTAGTCCTACGCTTATGTAATTTATTGCTACGTCGATGATAAGGCTCGACGGAGTCAGTCGAGCATGTGATGCGGCACGCGACGCGAATTCCCGAAAGACAATAAATATATAAATAAATAAATAAATATATATATATATATATTTATTTATTTATTATATATATTATATATATATATTTATTATATATATTTTATTATATATATATATTTATTTATTTATATATTTATTATATATATTTTATTATATATATATATATTTATTTATTTATATATTTATTGTCTTTCGGGAATTCGCGTCGCGTGCCGCATCACATGCTTGACTGACTCCTATTATATATATATATATATATTTCTAAAAATGATCTGTT